CACTACAGTGGCTCTCCTGTCCAAGTGCTGCTTTCATGGCAGCTCATGTCCTTGCCTGGTGGCTCATGTCCTTGCCTGGCGGCTCATGGCAAACACTGGTGCCTGAAGGAGATGTGCTGAGTATGGGTTAGGCTTACAGTACTCATTAAAAACATGTTAATAGTAATGTTCGCCTAGAGAGACTGCTGCTGCTCATCTTGCCCGACCACATAGCAGATACCAATAGCAACGTGTCCTGTTTTCCTGAAGGATTTCGGTATGGCATTTCCCAAGAGAACTGCTTCAGTGGCAGATTGCCAAGTTGGAGATGCAAGGGCCACTAAGGCTCTGTTTCTGCATGTCAGTTTTACAGCCCATGACTTCTAGCATCCCAGTCCTGGCTCACTCCGGTTTGAGCTACAAACACATGCTGGCCACTTTCAAAAACATGCCCACACAAAATAAGAGCAGTTCTACTGAAAATATCCCTCCTTCGGCTTACTGAAAACATCAGTCCTTCTCTCTGTGCTCGTTAGTGAGACGTAGTGTAACTCAGAAGAACGACAAGGAAGTTTTAAGCCCATGCCGTGTAACACCGAACACGCAGCAAAGCTCAGCGGTGCGTTCTGCATGGGCTGCACATGCCCGAGGTCAGCGCTGGCCCGAGGACCCCACGGGCTGTGTCCCCAGCGAAGAGAGGTGGCCGAGGGGTCCCTCGGGCTCGGTCCCGCAGAGGGTCCCCCCGCGCTCCTCCCAAGGGGCTTTGGCCACTCTCCCGCCGCTCCCGGGGCCCTGGGAGCGGGCACCTCCTGCCCCCCGCGCTCGGCTCCTGCCTGGGCTGCAGGGACAGAGATGCCGAAAGCTCTGCAGAAGCTTTGGTGGGCGCAGCAAGCCGCCTCAGGGGCCCGATCCTGCCGGTGTCCCGGTACCCACCGAGAGGAGCCGCTTAGGCGCGCAAAACGAGCTAAAGGCAAAAGTTACTCCGTAAGGAGAAGCCGGGGGGCAATCACAGCAGCGCGACCCGCTGCGGGCAGCCCGGCACGGCCCTTCCCTACCCCCTGGGACCCCTCGTCCTCCCGGGCTGCACCCCCCGGACCCCCGGGTCCCCGCACGACACTCACCGGGCCGGGCGGGCTCGGCCGCCGCTCCCGGGGCGGTCCCCGCACACCGGCGCTGTCGGGGCGGCGGCGGCTCCGCTCGGCGAGGGGCAGGAGCCCGCCCAGCCCAGCCCGGCCCGAGCGGGCGCCCTCCGCTCTTTGGTTTGTTGTCTCTCTCCTCCTTCAAACCACCCCCGCCAGCCCTAGGAGCCCAGCCATCCTCCGGCGGGAGGCAGCGAGCAGTCTGAGCTACCCCTCGGCTCCCCCCATCAGCTTCCCAGATGGTTTCGTACCGAGGGCACGGAGGACGGAGAGGAAATGCGCTCATCTTGCTTCTCGGATGTACTCTGACCTCCTGGTGGTCGTGCCTGAGAGTCAGGAAAGCAGCTGAAACACGTAACCTCGCGTACAGCTCTTATCAAAGCAAAGGAGCAGATCCCAGGGATGCCGAACTATTTTCCTGCTCGAAGGTGGCACAAGTAGAAACTTGTGGAGCTGCCTAACATCCTTCCGAGGCACAGAAGTCATGCTCGTTTCCTTAGAATCATAGCATATCCTGAGTTGGAAGGGACCCATGGGGATCATTGAGTTCAACTCCTGGCCCTGCACAGGACAACCCCAGGAATCACACCATGTGCCTGAGAGTGTTGACCAAATGCTTTTTGAACTCGGACAGGCTTGGGCCTTGTAGAGGTGGGGGAGCTGTGGCACAGCAGTATTAGCTAATGATAAAGGCCACGGTAAAGGTTTTTCAAAAGTGTTTTCCAACACTGCCCTCATTCTAAAGGCCATCTTCTTATATTTCTCACATAAATAAGTTTGCTCAACAAGTATCTCTTTCATAAGGAAGATTAAGGGCACCAAGTCTGAGCAACAGCATAGTGACATCTGTCTGATTTAGGGAAATTATAGATCCCTTTATGGCACCCTTCCTCTTTCCACAGCATTGCGACAACTGGCTTATATTACCACTGGTCTGGCATGTTGCACGTTCTTCACCACTGCTGCTTTGATTTTTTTTTTTTAAGCTCGGATGGTGGACATATGCGGTGGTAGGAGACAATCTGTGTGTTATGCTGCACTAAGACTTTGCAATATCAAGAGGGCACCAGGCAAATGTGGTGGCACAGCTTTGTTTTGTAGCTGGCTAGTTCATGAGTAATAGCTGGGACTGTTAAGTCAGCCCGTTCTTTGTATTTCCTGAAGTGGTTATTGAATTAAGTAACAGTTTTAATGTTACTCAAAGGGTTTGTGTTTTTAAATTTGTGTGTATAGGTATTATTTCCTTAGTGTCTGAATCAAGTTTATTCAGGTTGATTAGCAACCTGGGTGTTGTTAGTACATTTCTTCGTCATATGCCCTAATCTATTGAAATCATCTCCGGCAAGAGCAATACTGAAATCTCCCCACTTCTATGCTGCAGGACTCAGCCTGTCTTGTGCATTATTTATTTCCCCTGGGAACTTCACAGCAGCAGGAAGAGAGAAAACAGCTTCTTCACCAGGATCTCAGCTATTCATCACCGAAGCCAAGGGAAAATGCCTATTAAATATCACCTGTATAAAGCCCAACAAGGTAGTAATTACTGATGTATATGTATAGAAATACACACTGGACAATACAAATCACTATGGGTTACAGTGACTATCATTTACATGCATCTGCAAAATTTCTCTGGGAAACAGGGGAAAGACCTGAACATTTTTCAAAGGAAGACTCACATCCCAATAGATTATATTACATATCCACCATCTCATTCAGGATCTACTTTCTGTGTCACCTAAGATGGTATAAAATTATGATAACAATACAATACATGTAAATGGAAAAGTCAAACCAAGACAAATTAATTTGATTTGTATTAGTTTATTTTTTATGCAGTTCAGCAATCTGAAAGAGGCGGGAAAGCTCGAAGCACATATCCTGACAGCTCTAGAACATGATTCATTGGTTGAGTATTGCTGCACTGCAGAAGGCTTGAGATCATTATCTTGCTAAAGGTAGTAATTTATTTGATAATGAGCCAAGCTCCGCTAACCTTACTCACATGCTGGGCAGGACCTGAAGCTGTGAGCACTGGAGTAACAGTATCATGGTTCTTTGCACACTGGGACTTAACGTGTGGCTCTGTGATGTGGCTGCTACTGCAGCAGAAATTAGATATAATAATATTATTTCTAAAATGAACTCTAAGATCCCATCAGCAGGTGCAGGACAAGAGCAAGATTTGGGCTGAGAGTTAATTTCTAGGTATCTTTCTCAGCTGCTTTCAGACATGTTAGAAGACTGAGGAATTATTTTATTCTTTCCAGTAGTATTTCTAATTCATTACAAAACTAGCAATATTTCCTTAAACCATTACAAGCACTAAATAAAAAGACCAGGAGACAGCTGCCAATTTGGAGCACACAGAGGGATTATGTTAACACTCAAACACAAAGAAAGCAGGGATGATAATCTTGCTCTTGTCAGGCTTTGCTGACGCCCCACCTCCTGTAAACCGAAAGGAATCTGCAGCAGCACAGCTCAGCATGACTCAGCAGAGCAGAAGCATGAGCAGATCAAGAAAGGGGTAGGGGGACTCTCTTCCACCATTTCACACTTCCTAGCTATCATGCACGGAAATATGCAGGGAGACAGGATCCCCTTCTCACAGCTCACCATATGGTGTCCTCATCTACCCCCTACACCTGACCTTATAAACATCTTTTATTGCTGTGATTTCTACAGACTTCTCTGAGTATTAAGAGTTTTTTCTAATAGCCTCTTCCTCCCAGAGGAGTCAAGTGTCAAATAGTGAAAAATCCCAGACCAGTTTTTCATCTATGGAAACATTTGGCGGCTGAGAATTAAAAGGCTGAAGAATAAAATGTGAGAGGAACAGGAATAAGAGATTCTGCTGCTGGAACCAAAAGGCTGTTAGAAAGCTTGGGTAGAAGTTGTTTCTGCTAATGAATACATGATGATTCTAGACATATTTGAAACTAATTTTTAAATAGATCCAGATGTTCATGATTGGGAAGACAGCCATGGATAAGAACTGGTAAGCAGGTAATGGAAATTGAGGACTGAAGAAACCTGTACAAGGTGCAGGGCCAAGTATGTTTATGTTACCTTGTAGGCTTTCCTTTATAGCCTCTCCAGCGATTAATGCTGCTGGGCAACCAGGATGGGTGGGGGTCACTTCTGCCACACCATTCCTCCAAATATGTAGGAGGAAGGCCAGATTGGTAGCATAAACCATACTACTGGTGGTGGTAAGACCCCACAGTGGGCAGTGATGGAGGGCAGTGGGCAGCACTGCTTTCCTCCAGCGATCTGAGAATCCCTGTGTTTGGTTTGGAGGAGGGTAGAAGAGAGGAATTTTCTAATAAGCATGGCAGGCCATAGTAATCCCAGTTTCAGAACTGGGAGGAAAAACAGGGATGGAAAACTGTTCTGCAGTTTCAAACCATAATGGAGAACAGCAAGTTCATCTTAGTTTCAGAATTATTGAAATAATTTTATTTACTTTCCATAACTGTCATCTATTTAATTTTTTATGTAGAGCATGTATTTGTACATTATACACAGACCACTTGTCAGCTTTAGCTTCTGTCTCAGAACTAACGAACCTCTTTACTTGGGTGTTTCTGTTAATTGAAACGTTCATGTGATTTAACTTTTTACGGAAATGGAAGCGTTTCCTTCTCTTGAGATCAGTGGCTCAACTCTAGTGCCAAGCGTGATCAAAGGTTTCTGTTATTTGAGATCTGTTGCATCATCTTTATGAACAAAGCAGAAAGTCTCAATCCAATTTAAACTGAACAACTGTTCACATTATAAAACTATGATTAAGTTTGAAAATAATAGGTGGAGAGGACATTCAAAAAGAATATAGTAAAAATATCAGCTAGATAATTAAGTAATCGAGGACCACAAGTGTTTCCTTGTCACTGGAGAAAAAGAAGTTTGTTCCTTTTAATGCTGCAAAACTGATGTAACTCTGAGAAGGCAATCTGGCTGCCAGGGTATGTCCCAGGATGTCAGCCCACAGACTGTGTCTGCAGTGTCACTGAGGCCACGAGGTTCTGATGGATTTCCATATCGCTGGGAAAATTACAAGACTTGCAGTTAGATTAAGTGATATTTATGTAACGTATTTGTAATATATATAAAACAATATTTTAATTAGTAAATCGGTACATAAATTTTCCTTTCCTTAGAGGTAATCTCCCATTAATAATATTATCTGAGTAAACTGAGCAAAACTGTATTCAAATGCAGAACCTCATCCATGAGCACATGTTCACCCCACCGTTGTATCTCCATGCAATAATTAAGGTTTGTAAGGCGTCTCTCGGCCGGGGTTGGGAGCAGCTGTGCGGGGCAGTTCAGCGATCACGGCGGTGGTGCGGTGCTGCCGCCTCCTGACGTCTCCTCACAGCAGCGGATGTGGGAGGAAACACTCCAAATCCTGCTGCCGGGCTTTCCTTATCAATTCTTCTTATCCTTACCTTCCAGTGCCCATAAGGTTCCTTTTATGCTTTCCACAAGACATGTACTGTCATGGTCCCTGCCCCAAATGGCTTACATTCTCCTGGGTCATCTTATGATGAGATTTTACTCTATTTATTTATATCTCTGCAGTAGCTCATAAATCCTTACATTCAGGAAGTGATGGCTTATCATTTTCATGCCACTACAGTTTGAAACATGCATTAAATTAACTGCATGAGGGTTGTGACCTCAAATAAATCAGTGAGAAAACATTTCTTCTCTAGTAACCCTTTCTGCATGCACACCAACACACCCCACTGATGCAAAACTCTCTTTTATGCAGCTGGTGAAACAGGTGATTCTGCTTATTTACCAGCATAAGAATATGGAGATATATAATTTATACTTATTTATAAAGTATGTGTGTCTCTTGAACAAAGTCAGATAGGGAAATAAATAACAATCTTGTCAATGAACTGAAACTTGCGAGGTCTGGCTTGTCCCTGCTATTACTGGAGATTTATTTGTTTTTATTTAAGTTTATTTGTTTTTATTTAAGTTGATTTTTTAAAATTTTTTCTGTGGCTGTCTGAGGTTTTTGCTCTTACTAGCAAAAAGGTTTTTGCAGAGCTGGGAACATAGGCTGAGCTTAAAAGGGAGTGTTAAAAAGCAATCCCACTTGAAGAGCTCCACTCTGTCTAGAGATTCTCTCTATGACACCAGTGCATCATTTATAACCATGACAGTCACAGCACCATTGCAGGATGGCAGATGTGGTTATTTCCACCTCAATAAGGAATTTAATTTTATGTGGCTGGTCCCAAGTTACAGTAAATTCTTGCTAAGGTCAGAAACCCCAGTGTCCTCTTGAGTGTCAGTGCAGCTCTTTGGTCACAAAGCTGTCGAGGCATTCTGTTGTTAATATTAATTGTTGTGGAATGAATTCAATATGACCACTTGAGTCTTGTCCTTGTTCCACTTAATGGTTCCTCTATGTGCTACGAGTTGTCATGTTTTAAGGCACGATGACTGGCTTATCAAAAATGGGCTTTAGCACGAGTTACCACAGACTCCTAACACAGTCACCCTACTATGTCTGCACTGCAGTTAGAGTTGCAGCTACCATGAGGGTGAACTTGTAGAGTTTGAATTTATTTAGCTCAAATGGAAGTTAGCATGAAGACCAGCCTTAACAGTCACCCTTACAGAGTCTAACAGGACACAAATCACCAGGAGTTTGAAAAACATAGAGTAGAATCATAGAATAGTTTGGATTGGAAAGGGTCTTTAAAGGTGTTCTAGTCCAACCCCTCTGGAATGAACAGGGAAATCTCCAACTGGACCAGGAAGCTCATGGGAATGCCTCAATAAATGGATATAATTTTTGGACACACACTGGATGTGTTCTGAGCAACCTGGTCTAGTGGAATTCTCTGCCCATGGCAGGGAGGTTGGAGCAAGATGACTTTAAAGGTCCCTTCCAACTTAAACCATTTTGTGGTTCTATGATTTGTCCTCCCAAAACTGCACAAATCCCTGTTTATCACCTTCCACAGGACCCTGCGTCAAGCGTACTCAGTACAAGAAAGATAATGAGATACTGGAAAGGGTCCAGCGGAAGCCACAAAGATGATGAGGGGTCTGGAGATCTCTCATACGAGGAAAGACTGAGGGAGCTGAGTCTGTTTAGTGTGGAGAAGACACAGTGGGGATCTCATCAGTGCATATAAATCTCAAAGTCAGGTGCCAAGAGGATGGTGACAGACTCTTTCTGGTGGTGTCCAGTGACAGTACGAGGAGCAATGGCCATAAAGTAAAACACAAGAAGTTCCACCTCAATATGAGGAAGAACTTCTGCACGCTGAGGGTGGCAGAGCAATGGGACACGCTGCCCAGGGAGGGCGTGGAGCCTCCCTCTCTGGAGACATTCAAAACCCACCTGGACACGTTCCTGTGTCACCTGCTCCAGGTGACCCTGCCATGGCAGGAAGGTTGGACGGGATGATCTGCAGAGGTCCCTTCCAACCCCAACAATTCTGTGATTCTCTGACTGAGCTGCTCCATCCTGCTGCCTCGGGGAGCAGCTCCGAGCCTTTCGAGTCGGAGGGCAAACAGTGCTCGGTGTCCTTGGTTAAAAAACCCCCACTGAACTCCAACAGCAAGATGGCCAGCCCTGGGAGGAAAATCCACGCTTCGGGCGCGGGGTGACCGGGGCCATGGCCGGGGAGCAGCCCCGGGGGCCGGGCCGGCCCCGCCCGCAGCTGCCGCCGTTGCTACGAAACGACGCGAGGTTCGCTGCTCAGCCGCGGCCTCGGCACCGCCGGGCCCCGGGCCGGCACCGCCACAGCCACCGGCACCGCCGGGCCCCGGGCCGGCACCGCCACAGCCACCGGCACCGCCACAGCCACCGGCACCGCCACAGCCACCGGCACCGCCGGGCCCCGGGCCGGCATCGCCATCGCGCCACCGGCACCGGCACCGGCACCGGCACCGCCACAGCCACAGCCACAGCCACAGCCACAGCCACAGCCACAGCCACAGCCACAGCCACCGGCACCGACCCTCAGCACCGACCCTCAGCCCCGAGCCTCGCTGTCCTCGCCCGCAGGCAGCATGGCTGAGGTAACCTGTAACCTCTGCCCCCTCCCTTCCCCGCCCCTTGTTTGGACAGGATGAAGGCTGTACCTCAGGATAAGCCCAACTACATCACCTGTGCATCATCTGTATCCATAAGCCATGTTTATGTGTAGGGGTTACCCGTGTGAGCAGAGCTCAGTTATGTCCTGCGTTGAAAGCAAGAGCAATTAGCCTACTTGTACGTAGGCAGTAACAGCACTTGTATCTTAGGAACAGCTGCTACATTTAAGATCGTAGGTGTTATTTCGCCCCCTGCCGCCCCGCTTATTGCCACTCTTAACTCTATTTACGATCACAAACGTAAACAGGATCAAAACTGAAGTAGCTGAAGGGAGCCTACAAGAAAGCTGGAGAGGGACTTTACACAAGAGCATAGAGTGACAGGACAAGGGGGAATGGATTCAAACTGAAAGTGAGTGGGTTTAGATAGATATTAGATTAGATTATTAGATTACATATTAAGAGAAAATTCTTTATTGTGAGGGTGGTGAGGCACTGGAATAGGTTGCCCAGAGAAGATGTGGGTGCCCCATCCCTGGAAGTGTTCAACTCCAGGCTGGATGGAGCTCTGAGCCACCTGGTCTAGTGAAAGGTGTCCCTGCCCATGGCGTGGGGGTTGAAATGAGATGATCTTCAAGGTCCCTTCCAAACCAAACCATTCTGTGATTCTATGATTCTGTGGTTTGGAGAGGAGGATGAAATAAGAAGAAACCTGTGAGTCCCAGAGCAGGCTTGAGGGGAGGAGGCACTAAATTTCAGCCTCACACTGCAGACTGCCCTTCTGTGCTAGCCTGTGGTTTTCCGACTAAAGTTTCTGACAGAAGAAGACACCCCAAACCAGAGTCTTGGCGAGGAGGAGTACATGGAACTGGTCTCTCTACCTCAATGTGTTGCATGGCCTGACCTTTATTTCAAGTCATAAGGGCCAGTTTTTAAGGTTGTGGGAACTGTGTATTTCATTACCTGTCTTTTGGGAGGGGGACTTGCCATGGCTGTGCTAACAGGAGAGCTGCTTTCCTGTCCAAGTGAGACCTCCTCTGAGATATGGTTGTAAGGTTTTGGCACAACTGAGCTAGATAAAAAAATGTCCTCTGTGAAAGATTTAACAGTAGTATTTCCTGCAGAGGAAGGACTGGCTTGCATTGTCATTACTGAAGCTTTCAGATACACTTGTCAACAAGTGATTTGCTGGCACTATTTGCATGGAAAGCATAAACTAATCAAACTTTAGAGGGAAGAGAACTGGGCAGACCTGAGACTAAAATACTAAAATTCCTCAATGGTTGATGCATTATTCAAATGCTATCACAGTGATGGTGTTTTGTAGACTTATCTTTAAAGCAATTGTGGGACTCAATTACAAGAAGTTTGACTGTTAAAGCACAGGTTATTTCAGTAAAATCATTGGAGATGTGTTTGAAAAATAGCCTGCAACATGCATATCGTGTTAGCAGAAGAACTGTTATTACACAAAATTTTGTCCTGATTTCTTAGTAGCTGTTACCTACTCAGTATATTACTTTTTTATATTCTGGGGTCACAAGTGAGATGTTGAATTCCTCCGATTTGTTGATTACCTTATTTCACTCAGGAAAAGTCTGACAAACCATATCTAGAAGAAAGTGCCTTTGAAGCACTGGAAAAAGACTCCCAAGAATTCATCAGTCTGCTTAAGAGAGATGAAGCTCTGGAACAGTTCCGTTTGGAATATGAGAAGCTCCTTGCTGTTATGAAGAAGTCTCGTGAAAATGAAAAGCATCTCATGGGCAAATGCAGGAAGCTGAGTGCTGAGCTTGTGGAGAAGTCATCTAAAGTAGCTGTGCTCACAAAGCTCTCTAAAGATGATGAGGAAACTATATCATCACTGAAGACGGTAAAGTTTTGCATAAAATGAAATACGTTCTGAAATTGTTAATGAAAAACATGATAATGTGAAAAACACCTACAGGAACACTTTTGTTTTATGTAGAGAACTAGCTGGAGAATGAATAATAGAGCTGGCATCTCCAGCTGTTTAACCTCTGCTTTGCTACCAACTGCTTTGTTTTCTCAGCCTGGTGTTTTTACAGGTCTTAGTCTAATTCTGCATTTATTTACACTAAACCAACTCCATCAGCTTTCAAGTACTCACAAATAGATTTTGTTTAAGCTTTCCCTCTGTAAAATAGCACATTTTCAACTTAATACACAGTTTTTTTATTCATTAATACTTTTGAAGGGCTTCTTGCATGTTAACTATTGCCAGAACAGAAAAAAATTCTACTTCTTGCTGAAATATGGATTTTAGGACAGGGAAGTGACAACTCATATAAATTAATGTTTCACAGTGTTTTTGAAAAGGAGTCCTATGGAGCATTTCAATGTTATTTTATTAATTTACTTGGATGTGTTCTTTATTATTACTGATTTGAACTCTGTCAAATCAAAGTGCTTGGTTCACTGAAAATAGATGATGGTTTTTTTAGGCTTACAGTGAGTTTTGACCATCAGAAACCTAAAGCTGCCAAATGATCAGAAGTCTGTATTTGGAACTTCTCACATTCTGATGGTTTGAAAATTTAGCCTGTGATACCTAGACAGCATTTAATTTAGCATTTACTTGAGAAGCCTCTGTGCCTTACACTAAAGTGTTTTGTTCCAGTAAAATAAATTCAGTGTAGCAATCCAGAGTGATTTATGAGCACTACAGAAATAGTTCTTTGAAATGTAGTTTCTTGTCCTTAGAATTAGGAAGAAAATACATTTAGAGTAAATAGAAATAGCAGTGCCGTCATCCTATGGCTGCAGCTTGCAAACCCATGGTACTGCTCAGAGCCTCCTCAAGGAGGAGGAGGAAAGGTGTAGAAAATTTTGTTGATGTTAACTGCTTCTAATCAAAACCTGGAAGATGAGTGTCAGGAACCACAATGATCCTTCTAATTTTCTTTCTGCTATTACGTGGCAATACTCGGCACGTGAACAGTAGCAGAGGTGATCCTTCAAGATGTTCCCAAGCTGAGACATTGTCTTAGTAACATCATAAAACTGAGGAGCAGAAGTGTTGGGAAAATAAGAGCCTTTCCAACTTCAGCAGCTAATTTAAAGCTCAGGCAGGGTATGGCTTCACCATACTGCCTACTCTTGGACCCATTAAGAGATTTTCTAATGAAAAAGCTGCTTGACAATATGATCCTGTTAGAAATTATTTGCAATGCACATGTGACATTTCAATTCTAGTGGCTTGCTGTGAACCTAGTATACAGCACTGATACTTTTTCAGTTTGGTTATGAGAATTAGTCTTTCTCTTAAATGTTCAGAAATTATTTGGATATCATTTAAAATGTTCTTGGTATACCCTTCATATTCCATGTTATTCTCCTTTCTGAAGGGAATTTCTATTACAGCTCTAGAATTTCACTGCAATCTTACTTATATTCAAAAAGTGTTTCACAAGATACATGTTGAGAGAAGTTGAAGTGCTAAAGTAGCCAAGATGATATTCTTCAGTGCTAAATTAAACAATCTGTCCCGCAATTTAATTATTTATAAATGATAAAATAATCCTGATGGTACTGTTCCTGTAAAAATGGCATAGTTTCTTCAAATTACGGCCCTAAATCTCAGTGACTTGATGGGTCATTAGGGTAACAGGAGCACAGCCTTCCTCTTCTAGATCACTGTTTCATATATGAATAAAAGTTACAGAAGCAAAATTTTTCTCCATGTGAAAACCTGGTTTTAATCAGTGGGGTTTGTTTGGGGCAGGGGTTAACCACACAGATCAGTGGCTGGTGGGACTCAGGTCAGTAATAATCAATAGCTGTTAACTATTGTCTGGTGGTTGTTCAGGGCTCTGTTTTGTAGTTTTAATAAACTGGACATAACAGTCTGCTGTTTAAAGTCCTATCAAAGGAGCAAAGGGCCAAGCTAATCAAGAAGGAACTACAATTCTGGTTTTCATGGGTAGGGATACTGATCCGTGAGTCTGCACTGGAAGAATGCTAGAAGGGGAATTTATAGAAGCTTGTACTGCCCTGCTTGGAATTACCAACTTTTCAATTTCCAGGCGTATCAATCCAATATACTAAGAAAGCATTTCATTAATTCTCAGTTTCTGAGCAATGAAACTGATGTTTGGGGTATTTAATGAAAATAAAGTAAGGCAATCACACTTTATGAATTCTGCTTCACAAGTTCCAGAGTTCAGTTCTTCTCCAAAAATTTTTGAATGATTCTAACGGCAAATATTCAGTGTACTTCATTCTTTAATTATGCAGCAGACTGCCAAGCATGTTGCCTAACAGAGTACTGCAGTTACTCAGTGTTACTGATACACTTGCAGTCTTTCAGTTCCCCTCTCCACTGAGTAACAATGGGAATATTTTTCAGTGAAGGCTTCCTTCATCAAATTTCCTCCTCTTTACTTTTGGAGTTAAAGGATCTGTTGATCCGCTTTTCACAGTAAAAGACACAACGAAGAAGCAACTACAACAAAACCCAATTTTGCTGATGCTGAAGTCTGTAGCAAATTTGTATTTAGATTTTGATTAATAATGGGGCCATCACCTGTGCTTCCTAAATTTATTGATAAATATTGGTATTATCAATACAAATTCAATAGAATTGGTTTTGCACATCAAAAGTAAGATGAAGTTCAAAAAGCACACCTTAGGGAGACCTGAAATCACTGCTTATCTGAATGGCCTCATTGTCTTCAGGGGATCACTTTTGCAGATACCAGAACAAAATACTCACTGAAGCCAGTAGAGCCTCTCAGAGAGCATATTGATTTTATTCCCCAGTTCTATCCCCCATAACTCCCATCGTAATGCTTTAATTCACCAATTTTAATCACAGTCTAATCAGCCAGCAGGAAGCTTTGATTTAAGTAATCAGCTTTAATTTTACTTTCAATTTGCGTTTTTATAGGGAAAGGATGGTTGCCTCTTATTGGTTGAAAAATCTGAAACATATTTATTTACAGTTATATTTTATGCTTTTCTGCTATACAACATGATGCACTATGTCTTCATGCCATTATTTCAATCTAGCATGCATTTATTTAAATTTCATAATTGAACATTTTTATGTAAGATAATAATCAATGAAAAATGTATTATTTATTAGATTATACTTAATCCTTTATGTGTGATCATTGCTGCATTTGAATGCAAATTAGAACTCAAAATGTATAAGACAAATTGACTTTAGTATTTAAAACTATTTAAATATGCTTGATACTTAAGTGAAAAAGCACATTTTTCAAACTAAATTTTGAACTAAGTAATTTATTAAGTAATGAAAATACTGCTTGTAGATAGTGAATTTAATTGACTAAAATTTCTTTCAGAATTTCTGAACAAGTAAAGCCCACCATTTAACTCTTATTAATAGATTGGGGGGAAAAAAAAGAAGAGCAAACATTCCTGATCATTAAGTTCCAGATGGTTTCCCAAATTTGGATATGCTGAACTAGTTGAATAAATAAAATGAAAATATATTCCCTCTGCAGTTTGAAGAGGCTGCAGATGTTTTATTTTGTATAATCTTTTCAGAAAAATCTGGTAGCCTGTTACTTCTGCTGGTTTGATAACTTGAATTTTTAATTTAGGCAGTAATCAGCTAAATATTACATTTATTTGGTCTTTAATGGTCCAATAAATATATTAACAACATACCATAATATAGGTGTCATAATTTAGAGTTTAATGTTATATAGAGGTTTTTGTAGGATCAGAGATGTTCAGTACAATAAATAATTCTGTAAACATTTTGATATAAATTAAATTATTTTATTTTATTCATTGTGGAGGTGGTTTTAAAAATATTTTTTCCCTGCCCCAACTTCATATGATGCAAGCAGGAGTTGAAAGGGATATTATGGCCTGATGTAATGCTGTTTCTGTTTAGGTCTCCCTAGGGAGACCCTGGAGCTAATGGAGAACTGCACAGCCACACTTGAGGTCTAAATCTGTACAAATCTGTCAAGTCCAGAACTCCACTAGGAGCCAGCTGACAAAAGAGTGTGGAAGAGGGAACATCGTGCTGTGATTTGCAGCTCAGGGACAAAAGTAGTGTCTTCATTATTTACTGAGTCTTCGGGAACTTTCCTTCCAGTCCAGTCGCTTTCTAAATCTACGCTTTTTTTTTAGCACAGGATTCCAGAAGTGTTGGGAGCTTGGTTTGAACCTGGCAAGGAGTAAGCCATGTTTTTGATTCATAAGGATCTGATCCAAGGGAGAAAAATGTAGGGGAAGTTAAAAAATTAAGTGAACCCTCCTCCCCTATGCTGTTTGCGGATATCAAACCGTAGACTTGTGAGAGGCACAGAAATCTGTCATTCAAGTAACTCCATGTGCTGAAATTTGGCATAGGAGTTGTGGTTTGTCTAAATATGTAGTTAAAATCAAAATACGCTACGTCTTCACAGATGAAGATGAACAAAGAGACAGAAAAGTCAAGTAACATCTTTTTCTCATCCAAATCAAATTAGATGTTCACTGTCCTAACAGCTAATAAGACTTTTACAGACATGAGCTATTTAAGTAGGTGGTACCTTTGTGGGCACTGAATTTTCAGTAAATTTTTAGACATTAGTGGTACTTACATGATCAAAGCCTCACAGAGTGAGATTTGATAATGCTCAGATCTGTGTGGTAAATAAAATGTATTAGAGCTTTTGTGATGTAAATTGACATAGCCTGAATGGCTCAAAATGTTTGCTATGCCCTCACCCCCAAAAAAGATAACCAATTAAGGGAACTATTGGGAACCTAAGCATGAAAAGACACAAAACCCGATTTTCTCAGCTAACCAAAATGCAAGGCAATTAATTTTTAGTTTGTGGTTAATTTTAAACACAAATTAATTTATGTAATTGTTTTCCATTTTGTTCCTAGGAGCTTGAAAAGTCCTGGAAAATGGTGGATACAGCCTATGAGAAGGAACAGAAAACAAAGGAAACAATTCATTCACTACAAAAGGAAATTGCACGCCTAAATAATTTAATGAAGGAAAGAGCTGGACAGGAGTACAAGTAAGTTTTCCTCAGGAAGAGGGAAAACCTAATTTGATTTTCTATCATTCTGCACCTTATTAAGCCATTTAAACCCTACAAAGATACTAAAAAAGAGAGAGATCTTTTCTGCCTTTTACTTTTCTCATGAATACACATTTATTTGTCCATGTGTTTATGCAGTGAGCAAGTACAGAATCAGGCTCTGAGTGAGTTCATTCAGCATTGGATTAAACTGAGAGATCAAATAAAAATCAATATTATGCACTTTCTCAGTATGTGTCATATTGTTTTATCTGACTAGCATTTCAGCATACTTTGTCTTAGAGAATAGGATACTGTCAACATTTTCACATTTTACAGCAGCAAGGTCAAGTCAAGGAAGCGGGAGAGTTGATTTCTTCTCTGTTCCTAGCTTTGTTATAAGGCATTAACACTGTCTGTGTTCTTGTTTGTATACACTTTGAAGATTATGTTTGGGGTTTTTTAAACTAAATACTTTTGCATAGAGAGGCATAGTCTGAGGTGGAGCCTCTAACCACTACAGTGTGCAAATAATAATCATCCTCGAGCTGCTCAGAAGCCCTCCAAATTCTACTGTTTGTAGTATCAGGTCCTCAGACTCTTCTTATTGCTGTAAGATTAATGTAAACTCAAATATGAGATTAAGTGTATTGACCCTGTGACCTGTGCACTTTCTGTTGAAATTACTGATGGTTGGCCCTGCTGGTTATGGCTTGACACAGTTAAAGGTATTTATTTGTATTATACATATGGGATATATATGGGGCATGCTCATCTCTTCATGCACTGTATATCCAGGCTGCAGAAAAGCAACTTGTGTCTGTGAGCAAGGTCTTCAGTGTGCTCAAACACTTCCCCTCCAAGGAACGTGCCAGCAGTAGACCACCTGGGTCCGTGAGAAATCCATTCTTTCGCCATTTGTCCCTGAAATGTTCTGAACCTCTTTAACAGATTTCTTTGGACCTAAAGGCTTGGTCATTAAGTCTTCCCTTGTGTAACTTTCCCTAAAGGCATCTCTCTGGGCTGCTGTTTGCATTTTCTTGCAAGAGGCAGGAGCCATTGCTTTGCCAACACCTCACTCCTGTTTCCAGCTCTGCTCAGGCTGCTGAGACCTGCCTACTTACAATTTCTTCTTGAAGTTCTTTCTGTATTGCCCTCACTTCCATGCTTAAATACCCTGCCCAGGGACAAGGCAAGAGATGAGGTAACTCCTTTGCAGGATTTCAGCCCTGAAAACCCTATTGTCTTTTAGAACTATAAGGCTGCTTTTTACGTTGAGCTTGAACCCACAGGGCTTAGACTTTCTTTCATATTGTAAATGTGTCAAAACAGAGAGTCATTTTTATTCTTACGTTATGTGACTGTAAGACATAACCTCGTTAGGTGTCCAGTCTGGTGAACTGCAGAGGCACTGGTATTTTTGGTCCCTAAGTAATTTTGTAGTGAGCAGACAAGAGGGAATTTTGTTTCCTGCTACCTTTTTGGGAAACTGAAGATTTATTGATACCCGTGAGAATGCGATATAACAAGAAAGAGTGATTTATTGGACTTGGTTGATGGTGGTGAGTATCACAGTAGATAAAGCATATAATTCACTTGACCACCAGAATCTAGATACAAGAGGAGTTTAAAATGAAACAAATGACTTTTAAACTCTTGTTTCTCACAAGGGTCTCGCTCTGGCATAGGAGGAAGAACAGGAATGGCCTGTGACACTGCTTGATTATTATTTTCTTCCTTCCAGTGTCGAGGAACTGCTAGAACTTCAAGAAGAGGTAACAAAGGAGCGAGACGAACTGTTGTCAGAAGTTGTGAAGTTACGTCAAAGTCTTGCTGAAGTCACAGAGCAGCAGCAGGAAACAGAGAAGGCAAAAAATGAGGCAGAACAATCTGTTCTGCAGGTCTGTACCAATCACTGGGGAGTGATTTTTAGGCTTTGTCCTGAGCCTTTCTCCACACCTGTAATTGGTCTCCATTGACTAGTATGGTCCCTGTTTTTTCACATCTCAAAGATGAGGAGTGCTCTCAAAGAAAGGAGTCTGTTGTGAATGATTTTTCTGTACTTCCACTCTGTGTCCTTTACAAAGTGTATTGTCATGTACCAGCTGCTTCTGTAGTTTCCCAATACCCTGAATGAGGCCAAGGTTGCTTTGCCTGAATCAGAGTCATCTTTCTTACTGGAGATGTGCAGTGGTTTTTGGATTGTAGATCCTTATGCCTCTTGGAACATAGACTAGAATGGAGACCCTTGCTGTTGGCAGTGATTGCCATATGATGCAATACCATAATTTTTAAGATTGTTTCAAATTCTGGCTTAATATTAGGTTATTTTCTCTACTACTCCATTTGGGAAACTTTTCCAGAACCTCACTTTCCTAATGGTTAGAGAGCTCCTACTTTCTTCTTTACACTGATTCTGGCCTACTGCTCTTTAGCTTAAATTTTTCACCTCGCCTGTGTCTCTGGAGAGCAGTCTTATTCCATCTTGACTTTAAGTTAGGCTTTCTGTTTTTCTGACCATCTGAGTAGACAGTTGTTCTTTAGTGATCAATATGTATAGCTTCCTTTAAATCTGTATAGCAGCTAGAGATACAGAAGGATGAGGATCTGTAAAATAGCCATTGAATGGAGAGAAAGTAGAAAAGGGTGGAAGATGGTATACAGAACTCTGATACATCAAATATAAAAATATAATAATGAGGAATGAAAGAATTTAAAACAGAATATAAGCAAGGGCTGGAGCAAGATGTCAGAAGAAAGGAGGAACAGAAAAGAATCAAAGAACAAAGAGAGATAGAAAAAACATTTGGCTTACAGTTTTTTATTAATCACAAATAAGAAAGTAATGATCAGTCTAGGTTTCATACCCAGAACTTGTTTCTGTTTCTAAAGTGGATGAATGGGGATGTATTAGAAAAGAATATAAAATCTGTGTTTTCTTGACAGCATTTTGGACATGGGAGAAAAGAGAGAGGATTGAAACTCCTGTCACAACCTGTTGAATCTTGTCAGCCTTAATCTTCTGATACTCACTTCATCAGCCCTTAAATTTACAGGATTGTTGCAGCATTTGTAATCACCTCCCATTCTCCCAGTATGGAATTATTCTCCCCTTCAGACTGCTTAAATGACAATGTCCTTTTGAAGATCCTGTTGAAGACCCTGTCAGTTCTGGTAACTTTTCCTCTGTGAGCTCAGAGGGGAGGAATCCTTAAGCAAAGAACATATTTCAATTGCTGGTCCTTGCTGAACTTGAGTATTTCCATGTGGATCGGCCCCCTGTGTCTCTTCTCTGCTGATTCTGCTCCATCACATTTTTGGGGAGGGAGAGAGCAGAAGTCACAAGACAGTCTATTAAATGTGAGAAAAAGCTCCTCTTTTAAAGTTCCCACAGAGGAACTTTGAGAGCAGAAACACTGAGATCGATTGTGAAAATGAGCACTGGTCTGACATGTCTCTCTTTCCTTTAATATCAGTGTAATAAATGTTTCTGCTGGTGAGATAGAAAAGTAAAAATCCTTGCAATACAACATCAAGCCCTCATTAATTTTAATGCTGCATTCAGAAAGTAACACCTATAACAGAAAAGACATTAGTGCCACTGAATCTCCAGAGGAATACTTTTATGTCTGAACTGTATCAGGCCCTACCGTGTGGGTGAACTGACTGGTGCTTAACAAATTCTTGTCATCAATAAATAGGTTCCCTCATGTAGGATTTTTTGTTCAGCCATTAGAGAACATAATTATTTCTGAGGAGATCCGGCATATTCCATGTAGTAGTGGGTACAGTAATATAGAAGCTGTTGTTTCCAAAATCAAGCATAGTAAGAGTGGTGAGAGGACTTGTTTTCCTGAGTCACAGGCAGAAGATCTTAAAACGGTTTTCTCTATTATTATATAGCTTCAGCAAGACATCCAGCTGCGTCAGAATGAGGAACTACGAGAGGCTCGTAAGAAGGAAAAAATGGAGATTGAGCTGACAAATCTTCTAGCTGAAATGGATAAAAAGCAAGATGAGATCCAGAATTTACAGCAGCAAATAGAGAGAAACAAAGAGGAACAACTGAAAATGGAGGTTCATCTTAGAGAGCAGAAGGTAGGGTACATGGCACACTGTATTCATCAGATCTAAGAATAGAGTCAGATGTTTAATTAAGTAGAAAATGGATTTTCCTGAAGGGAGAGGGAGGGAGATTATTTTAAGTTATTAAATTTTAATAAATATTTGTTTTTATACAAGTACTAATTTACTAATAAATAAGTATGTAAAGCTTGCTGACAAATTTCAGATAGATTTCCTCACAGAAATCAGTAGTGGATTGCAATGGTATTGTTAGAGATCATCTTGAAAAAAATCACAGCAAATGAGACGTGAAGAGCATGAATGATCTAATGATAGTAACAGAAGACTGTCATGGTTGGACTTCTGACTATATTGCCAGTTTTGCCATTGATTGTCTCTAGTGGCATTGGTAAAAAATTTTACTTCCATCCCCTTCTCTCTTCTTTTTCTCAATATTTTTTATCTACCTTTCAAGTCTGCGGAAGACTTTTGTGAAAGGGCAGAGAACTGTCTTCATAAACCTTTTTGATTGATTTTCCTCATTCTGTTTCTAAAAACTTTATCTGGAAATGTCCTGACATAGTGTTCTGCAAGTGTGTGAATTTTCAGGTTTTCAGTCCACTTCCCCATTTCCCCCAGACTTTGAGAAACTCTCAGAGAAGCAATTTAAGTAAATGGCAGGGTAGATCTCATCCCTGTAAACCAGTCCTACCTCAAGGGAAACTTCCTTGTGAGTTGTGTGTATCTTGTAAATTTATGACTTTTATGGCTTTTTCTTCCCTTCTAGTCCCTGAAATTGTGAAGAGGTCTGTGCCAATTTTTTTGTCAACACAGAGTCTTAGTAAAATACTTCACATAAAGAGATACAGAGAAGACTTGATTATTTCTCTGAATATCACTGATTTGATGCAGCTTTTGAGGGCAGCTCCATGATCTGTCATGACAATCACATTGTATATACAATTCCTAGTTCTGTTCCATTCTTCCTCCTTTTTACAGTCCCTTTCACCCATTCAAAGCATAGATTTTAGGGGCATTCAGTTGTCCAAACTGTCCTGGAAACCAGCAGTTCACATAAAGTGCTGTGCCTGGGCTAATTAACCAGACTTCTGCATTTGCCTGTGCTGGCTTGAAGGTGTCTGTGGAGGCCCTGCATTGTCTTTTCCTAGAAGTCTGTCCAAACTACAGGCTACCCAACTATGCAAGAGTCAGGATAGAGATCTGCAAAAGAAAGGGACACAGCTATTGCAATGTCATCGGGTTATTGTTTGTCAGCTGAATTGTAGTTGTCTGTGATGCCTGCTCTTATTCCCATGAAATTTCTAATAAAATATCTGTTCTTGCATGACAGTGATAGTGGTTTGATACAGTTGCTATAAGCTTCATTCCAGCCCTGTCCAAGTCTCAAAAAAGGATTGACTGAAACAGTGTTATCCTGACATTTACAATACAAGAAACAGTGTTCATTGTTTTTACACTGGATTCTCCTTCTCCTCCTTTATTGTTTTTTTAAGGGCATAATACATACCGGCTTCATCAGTTTATCACGCATTAATGATTGGAGTGAAAAATATGATGGTTGTTCTTTCCTCACTTGTATCTGTACTATCTGCAAGTGATGTTCCATCAAGCAGAAGAAAAGACTGGTATCTCCAGTATTGAAGAATATGTTCTCTATAGAAACCACAAAACTGCTGTTCCAGACGTTTGACTGAAGACAAATTAAAGAGGAAAATACTTGTGTCCTGGTCTCAGCAAACCATGTAGCCAGAGAAATGTTATCAGCATATTAATGTAGGATGCTTGCTCATAAAACAGAGCTCCCCTGCCCTCTGATGATTGAAGTAATTTGAATCTCATACTCTTTTGCAGTAATTATATGTAGCAAGTTGTGTTACGTGATGGTTGCCAAATGCCTAACAAGAAGTAAAATATTTATCTATCGCTTGCAATAGAGACCTGCTAAGCTTCCAGAAAAAAAAAAGATACTGAATGTGTTATTCATTAAAAATGATAATTTCCCCTAGTCAATGTGAACATGTATCATATTTCACATTAGTAATTTCATCAGCAGTGAAGAATGGTTTTTAAGCAGACAACAATCTGTAACAGCTTTTATCTCCAGGGAAGATGGAAGGTTCTGTCTTCATGTATATGCAGATATTGTAATGAGATTTAAAAGAATTAATAGGATTGTTCTTTAATCTAACAGAACTTGAATGAAAAAGCTAGTAAGGAACTTGAGCAACTTAAGATGAAAAATCAGAAGCTCATGCAAGAGAATGAACAGCACAGTGCGATGTTTGATGAGGTGATGAAGGATGTCAGCCAGAAGACAACACAACTAAAGGTAAGTACCAGAAGGTACATCCATCTTATCAGCCGCATCACTTCCATGACAGTCTTACCATGGATGGGGACAGGGATGACTTCAGTTCTTGTCCTTATGGGCAGTTTTGGAGGAAATCTGAGGAGTTTTTAGGAGTAGATGTGCCTGACAATTAGTGCCATTCTTTCTATGGAAGTACCATGGTCATGGTAGTCTCCAGGCATCTCACCTGACAGTGTAGGACCAGTAATGCTGGAAGCACTGTGTTTCATAAAACACATAAACCAAAATGCTCAACACACTGTGTTCATAAAGGGCATGTCACCCTTTTGACAAATATAAGGTTCGACTGTGAGATTTTCAAATAAGAGCAGTGACTTTCTTACAGTGATTAACCTAATCTGAATTTTGCCAAAACCCATTGAAAAATGTCAATATATTATAATGAAGGTGTTCTGGATGGCTTCCACTGAAGGGAATTGCTTTCAACACTAAAATTTTCCCTTCCCACAGTAGAGGAAATTAAATATAAGTAACCAAGATGGTGTTTACTTTCAGATCTAAATGGTTTTATTCCCTTACTTCCCATTATTTAACAGTCATTTCATAGAACTCAGAAGCAGGTGAGTTTCAGTTGAAAAAGGATTAAACGATTCCTGCATGTGCTTTTTAGGGTACTTTGAGAGCTCTTGTGATAAAAGGAAATGTATCTATCTACCGTATCTTGCATTATGTATCATCATTGTGGTTAAAACACTAAACATGAGAAAAGCCAGGTAGAAAATAATTTCTAATTGAGTCTTAGTCAAGTATAACGAATTCACCTACATAAAAAGTTTGTTTGCCAATAGAGCTTGTTAGTCAGAATGATAAACTAACCTCTGACAGATTAAAAGCTCAGTTCATAACTAGTATAACACAGATGATTCTGATTTGGATCTTAAATGGAGGATGGCTTGTTTTCTGTTGTATTTTATTAGGCAAACTGAAGGATATTTTTCTTACCTATTTGAAAAAAAATTACTGTCTTTTCTGGACTATGCAGTTTTATCATTTCTTCTACCAATACCATACTTGTTTAAAACTTTACAAACAATGTGCTCAAATGAGACTTACATTTGGGGCTCTGAAATGTCAAAGGATTTTGATTCTATGATCCTATCCTGATTTCAAGAAAAGTTGATGGAACTTTTTAAGTCATGCACGTGGACTTCTGGGAACAAAAAAATAGAAGCTACTGCCCAGTTAGCAGCTAAGCCAATTGCTAAAGCTTCTGAGAGCCCTAGTCCTGATGTGAGATACAGTTTTTGTGTTTGCAGTTTCATCCTGCAGTGTGCTGAATGCCTCCACTGTGGTGTTGGGCAACATGAACTGTGAGGGTACTCTTAAATCTCTTGAAGGTTATTGTCAGTAAAAACTGAAGAGATTCACAGCCTCCCAGAGGATACTTTCATACCAGGATTCCCCATCTCACAGAATCAGTATCTGAGGCTGTAAGTGGAACACTATAGTCTGTGATGGCTGTAAAACCCAACAGTGGCAGTGAATTATACAAGGAAGTTATATTTACTTCTTAAAAACAAAAAGACTGATTCCTGTTGTGATTATTGGATGTGTTTCCTGGTAACCAGTTATGCAGGGTTTTGATTGATTATTTTTATCTCTGTTGTGTAGCATGTGAGATGAACTCTATGTTTTGCTTTTTCTTTAAAGACATAGGTTATAAAGGAGATGGGAATAACGTGCACCTGCTCCTTAGGGACATGCAGTCAGACCACACTACAGATATCTTTCTTATCACAGTCACTGTGCCTATTACTTCAAAGGAAATTAGAGCTGCCTGGAGTTAGTCTGCAGGACTAATTGGGTAGTGCTGTGTGAGGTTTGCTGGGGATTAGCTGGGGATTCTATATTGATCATCTTCAGCCCTTAAGTGTAAGATTGGATTATCATTTTCTTTTCCCTAGCTGGCTTTGTTTAAAATTTTTTTAATATTGTCCAATTAGCTAATTATCTTCTTGCAGGTGACTCACAGCATTTATATGTTTACTTCCTGAATTTTGTGAAATAAATATATACCAAGTGCAAAAGCATTTTCTTCTTTCTTTCTATGGATGCTTTCTCTCCCCTTTCCTTGTTGCTGTTCTGTAGGAGAGAGAAGATGAAGCAACTCAGATGCGCCTTGAAATTTCAAAGCTGAACAAAACGAGAGATGTTATCCAGAATAAGCTGCGTGCTGCAGAGGAACAAAAAGTTGATGCAGAAAATGAAAAAGGCATGCTAAAAAATCAAATATCCAGACTGGAGAAAGGTAGGTGCCTAACAGATGGGTGGGTCTGTCTTTTGAGTTTTAATAAGTTTTCTAGATACCCAAATATGTATTAACATCATTAGCTGATACCTAGGGTTGTAAAATCTGTTCACAGCTAATAGAGCTGTTCATAGTCAAGGCTTTTAAAAAGTCCAGAGTTGTTTCTGCATTTTTAACAGCTGTACACTTTGAACCCAGGATTTATTCTCTTTCCTCTTTTTCTCTAGAGTTAGAATCAGCCAAAAAGCAGTCAGAGATTGACAAGAGAGCTACAGATGGGCTTATGAGGGAAAGGGATATGCTAAACCAGGTGAGTGTGTATTAGTATCACTGATAAACCTCACAGCTTGATAATAAAATACCTTTAGTTTAAACACTCACAACACCACAGAAATGTTGTGGAATACATAACGTTAAGTTAAAGCATTCAGATTTCTGTTAGCAGTTGCACATACTGCTTCTTTTCTGTGCATTGAAATAGTGGTGGTATCTGTAAACACACAGAAAATTTCTAAGTTTTAACATATAAACATATAAACCATCGAGTACTTAAAAAATATGACATGTGCTCACCTTTACTGCAAACCCATTAGTTGGTATCCAAAGAGTTCATTGCATCCAAAGAGTGTGTTTTTGCACTCTGTAGCATTTGAAGTTTAATATCGATCTAGGCAAACTAAGTCTTTGCTAGTAAAGGAAGAAACCAAAGTGTTGATACACCATGTAGCAGTTTGTCAGGGTATGTTAGTACTAGTCCTTGCTTTTAAGTCCATTTCTCACACTGATCATTTCCTATCAGCCCAAGGTTCTTGTACTGCAGGATAGCATCTCATGTTTATGGGCATTCCTGAAGTGTAATCTACTAAATTCAATGCCAAAAGATGATTTCTGAGGTGCTTTATTTGGTGTAGGTTCGTTGTCCTGTGTCTTGACTCTAGCAGAGGCTCAGATTTGGCAGGTAACAAATACTTGTTTTGTATAGGGAAAGAAAGTTTAAAGTCAGACCAGAAGTCTGATTTTGTAAAGATGGTATCTTGGTGTTTTCTGTTTAATCATTATGCATAATTTTAAGATAAGCTTAGTTATTTTCCGCCTTGAAGTTTCTATTTAATACATGAGAAGGAAGAGTATTTGGCTTTATTATTAATTTAATGGCTATTGGCATGCTTTGCATTCAGAATGCCTTAAAACTGGTAAGGTTTTTCCGGTCATTAGTTATATCCACTTGTAAACAATCCTATCAATTTTTTTTGTAACACAGACACTAGTGTTTTAACTGCAAATCAGAAAAAGCTCTATTTAGCAGCTGTGCTAGAGATTTTGTTTTTTAAATCAGATTTGAGGCTCAAGTATTTCAACTGAACAAATTAGATAATGGATAATAACATTGGAAAGTCCATAATCCACTTTGACAATGGCATACTTTTGTCATAGTGGTGACAGTATTGCCTTTTCAGCTCAAGAGTCATTATTTTTTGTTCTCTGTAGAACTTGATCAAGGCTACAAATGCCACTCAGAAGCAGATAAATTTGGTGAAGCTCCATGAACAGTCAAAACAGAACTTGGAAGCAGAGATACAAAATTATAAGATTGAAGCTCAGAAACAAAGGAAGATTATTTACCAATTGGAAAAGGAGAGAGATGGCTTCATCAATGAAACCAGTGAGCTCAAAGAGAAGGTAGGAACAGCTATTTGTGCAAGTGTTTTTTTCCTGTCCTACTCTCAAAACTCAATTACTCTTTGATTGTCCTGTCTTATCTGCAAAGGACCTTGTTTTACATACTACCAGTGTCCTAAAATTGAGGCCAGTGCTCAACATCTTTGTAAGAGGCTTAGCATTTTGAAGGATTACTCCAAGTATGTGAAAATATCTCAACATGTTCAAGCTACTCTGCAAAATAGAAGTTTTCCAGGAGCAACTGCAGAGAAACACTGCATAAAATTTGTGTTGCCTGCTGCTCATTATTATGTATAAATTTATTCCTGATGGAGTAAACTCAGAAACATGATTTTAACCTCTTCCATTAATTGCTATCACATTGAAGAGCCCTCCAAGAAGCTAATTGATTTACTGGGATTAGCTTTCAAGTGGTTTCAACTCACAAGTTATTTGCTATCTTTCCACTTTAAAGTTATCCTTTCCAGCTTCAGGTGACTAGGGGCTTTTAAATCATTTTTGAATGGTATACACTCCATTGCCTGGAATACCTCATCATTTCCTTGGAAATAATATTCCATGAAAGTGAGATTTGTCTTTGTTGCAAAGTCGTATTTTGCATCTTTCCCTCATGGTGCATTTCTAACAGGATAGATATGAGTTAGGAACGTTGTAAACTAGGACCAGAGAGTAATTCATAACACTCAGAACTACAAGGCTCTTTCTTGTAGTTCTGGTTTGGGTTGTCCACAATATTTTGAGGGTGAAAATGACAAATGTTTGCTTATTTACTTTGTCTTTTCTTCCCCTGCCACTTTGGTTGCAAATTTTCTGTCACTTCGTATAAGGCAGAGGCTCAGTAAATGGCTTATGACACTTGAGCTGTTTATATAATGATACCTGCATTGTGACTGCAAGCTTCCAAAGGACTTGGCTCACTAAATTCCTGACTCAGCTTACAGGTGAGGAGCAGAAGTATGAGCACAGAAGTATGTGAGACAATAGTCTTGTCCTTCAAGTCAAAACACAGGGTAGAAGAAGGACATAGGATCAGGATTATTATATCAACTAGGTAATATTTGAGTTTGCTCTTTGATCTATGCAACTTGAGTGTGGCAAAACTATGAGAGTCATTTCACAGCTGGTGGGGAATGAGCTGTGATGGGCAGTAACTCTATGGCCAGTCAATGTCCATTCATCACCATTTACCACTAACTTGGCTTTGCAGGAGCTTGCTGCACATCTTTGGAATTGTGTAAGAGCAGTAAAGAGCCAAACCCATCCAAGTCCAAAGATTTACCCATGCTGGCTCTGAAAGTTGTCTGGTTATTTATAGCAGGACAGAATCTATAGAACTGCAGAATTTCTCTTTCATAATCATCATTTACTAGTAACTGATGAAGAGTCAGCAAAGTTATATCCACAACGGTAAAATATTTCAGGGGTGAGAATTCATCCATAGCTTCCTCTTCTATCTATTGCTTTGGCTGACTGCTCACTTGTACTATTTTTAAGTCAGTGTCACTTGTTGAATAGTCATACTTGTAGATTAGCCAGCACAAGTGAGAAAAAAAATTTGCTCTTTGCTCTTTGTTGTGTAACCTGTATTACTGAGCTGCAACCGTTAGTAGAATATTTCCTTTTTGAATTAAAATTCTTAAATTATGAAATCTTAGTTTCTCTGTGGAAGGTATAGGCTGCTTAAAAGGAGGCAATGAAGTATATCTTTTGGTTTCATCTGAAGTGTCCCCGACTGTGTCTTCTGAGGGGTCACAAAACCATTCTCTAATTGTTGTTTCTTCTTCAAATAAAGTCTTTTAAAATGTTAAGTTTACAGTTAACAGCATATCCAGGAAACTGAAAAAAATATATTTCCTTTTTAAAATTAACATAATCTTTTGGAAAACCTCATGTTCAATGGGCATATCATTAAGGCCATGGCAGCATTTCTCAGAGTGCTTAAAAAAGGGTGAGCAAATAAGCGCAGCACCATTACTGAGGTATTGAGTAGGTTCATTGAACTAAACAGTAACCAGCAGTAAATGATAGTAAAGTGTACAGATAAAAAAGCTATGAGGATACAGGAGAAAACTATGAATACTTAATACTTTCTGTTAGCTTTGGGCCCTCCTTGCCAAATCTGAGGTGTAGTGTGCTGTCGACTAAATAGGAATTGAGGATGCTCAGCCTCCCACGGGGCTGTGTTGTGAAACACTGCATGTATCTTTTCTGTATTTATAAGAAAGAATTATTTGGGTTTAATAATTCCTGAATAAGCAGAGTCAGCATCCAGCCAGTGAGCACAACTCAGAAAACTTTGTCCATAGTCTTATTTCACTTATATCAAACACAAGTAAAACACTTACAAATGCAGTGACCTACTTTCAAATCTTGTCCCAGCCTATGATCACCATAGCGCAGGTAGAAAACACGCCTTATAGATTTCTTCTCCGTGCTATTACTATTGGCAGCTTGTGTCAACAGAAAAGAAAAAGGCAGGAGTAGGTTATAAACTAGGACTGTGGTTTTGTATTGCATTGTAAGCAGTTCCTGGGATCATCTGAAGTCAGCTACAATGTGCTGGAATTGTATTGCTGCTGCCGTAATAAAATTTTTTGTGTTTGTCTAGCTATCCCCTATCTTCAGAGTCGGTTGGAGGTACCTGATAGAATGTTTAATTATTTAATCCTGCCCCACGGTTAGGCCTCACAGGCTTTACTGCTAAACAAGAGACAACACTGTCCACTGCAAGCTTTGCAGTTATTGACTATTTGATGCAAACCTTTTTTTTTTTTTATTCTTCCCCTTGGATATATAAACGTGAACCTTAGCCCAAACTGCTGCCTTCACAAGCGGAGTCAGGAGAATGGGATATGAACTGCAGCTGGAAATGGACTTCTCTTCTGGATTTTGTCCATGTGGTTCCTCAGCTTTTACTTTAATGCTTGATATTTTTTTAGCTTAAGGGATGGGATTGTTTTCTCCTCCCAATTAGTGAACCCGATAAGTTGTTCTTGATGTGTGTACTCCTTAGTTTTCTTTTTATCTCTTTTAATCTTATTTAATTGTAATGCTGAATTCTGTGTGAATGCTGCTTGCTTGAGCTCCTCAGTTTTCAGCTTGGTACAGCAGGAGAAAGGTTCTTATGTTTCAAAAAAATAATTTAGAAGCCCATCATAATGATTAGCAACTACTTGTATTTTTGTCCCTCTAACATAATAATTATTATGTATTATTATGGTGGTAGCTGTTCAATAAAAGTGTGTATAAAATTTTATATTTTTGTTTATTGATACTGCATGTGATCACCTTCTTTCTATAGTCTACAATACTTCATTCTCTTTACATAATCTTTACATAATTATTTCTAATCTGTGATAGAAACAACTAATAGCGGTTACCTTCTTATTTAGACTAGGTTGCATTAACTGAGTGTCTTATTACAGTAATTATATATCAACAGTTTATGATCATCAGCAGTTTGTGATCATGTGTTCATTAAAAAAAAGATGGGTTGTTAGAATATAGGAGTACATACAGGGCTTCTTGAAAAAACATACATGTATTTGTCTTATCATACAACTGACATCCAAAACAACATAATTTACAAAATCTAGGTTTGCTTTATAAATAAACTATTAATTTTTTATTGAACCTGCTCAGTGGCAATATTTTCTTTCAGGAGCTTGTTTTTAAATTAAATATGTGCCCATCTGTAAGTTTTAGTCTTGAACAAAACCTAGATATCAGATTAAAATAGAATATTGTCCCACATAAGCAATCCCAAAAGGTTGAACTTGTATTTGGACTGAAGTGATTTTTAGCTGTAGCTGAAACTGCTTATCACAGGGATTTGAACTTGTCATCTTAGAAGAAAATCACGAACTTTGCCCTGTCCTTCTATTCTTGTGATGATTGTTTAATCACGTTAATTTCTTTCTTTCTGCACCAGGTCCTCCATCATATGAAAGATCTTGAAATATGTCAAGTACAGATCTGTGACTACGAGAAAGAAGTACAAGTGCAAATGATTAAATTAAAACAGCAGCAAAACATTTGTGAAACTCTGAGAGCAGAGAGGAGCCTGTACAGTAAAAATTTGATTGAAGCTAAGGTAGAAGGATGTGTTTGTACTCATGTTTCTCTCTCTGCTCTTGTTGGGTTTTTTTGATGATTTAATTTTAATTTGTTGAAAGGAAAGCTCAGTGGATCAATGGCAGAAGTGGTTTCCTCATCCCTGTGGGTTTTGGGGAAATGAATGTTTTAGGTCCCTGACATTTTATCTACACCGTCTGTATTTGGACTGGAAATAGAAGTCAGCAGTCATCATGTGGCAATATCCCTACTTCAGACCATGCACAAAATCGTGGTACACTGGAGCTTCGGAATCATGAAGCCATTCTGGCTCCACTCTGTTTCATCCCTTAGGAGTTGTATGCATGTGAGATAGGGTACAAGGGGAATAAGATTGCCTCCTTAACCCTGAATGTGTATGCACATTATTGTGAATAATGGTTTAGAAAGCAGAAGGAACACTTTCTCAGCTGAAGTGGAATTTTTTGACAAGAACCAAATGCTTTCCACCTTCCAGTCTCTCTCAGAGATTGTCATTTTCCTCGGGAAATGATTCTCTCCATTCATGTCTCCTCCGTGGGGATCTCAATAACAATACTAGAAGAAGGGAACAGACTAATTAAGGATGTATTCTGTTATTCTGATGTAAAGATCTAAAATATTACATAAATGCTATTGTAATTGGCAGAGATTGGGACCTTGGATAGCTGTGAAATATTTACAGCCCTGGGTTATTTCTGAATAAAGATTTATGACATAAACATATATAGTAAATTAAAAATTTATACTTAGGTTTGAATAGGTAGGTGCTTTGCTTGAAAAGGAAATGGAAATGAACTGTCCAAGTTCCTATCCAACTGTGTACTGAATTCTATGAGGAATGAACCGTTTTGCCACTTATGTGGGAGTTGTTACTTGATCTTAATCAGCCTCTCATCAGTGGATGCAGTGTTGGAATTCTTGCTGCTCCCAAACAATCTCTCAGAAGAAATAAGGGCGAAGAATTGCAATGCTGATTTTTTAAAAATAGTTTTTATTTTAAAACATGGAACATAAATTTGCTTACTTATAAAGAAGGACAACTATGTGCTGAGTTAGAAAATGAAGCAGCTTTTTTTGGTTTTGAGTGTTATATGGTGATATACACTATGTTGTTCACAGTTCCAGTTGTCAGAGGCCAGTGTTTAGACTTTAATAGCTTACTTGGCATACTGCAAAATATTTTTAGCAAGTCCTGTGTGAGAAGGCTGACCCCAGAAGATCTTTTGGCCAAGGCAATATGCCAGTATTATGTGTAGCAATGAGAAAAACAACCATTCAGTGTTCAGTAACAGGTCAGCCAGTCATGAAAGAAAAAAAAAGAGGGTTGCTTTAAACATTATGGTAAATTCTTTTTCTTTTTGGGAAGTAAAACAAATTTGCACAGTCTTGTTTATATAAAGCTAGCTGTAAGTATTTTTAGATTGCTTAATTTGAAATGATCCCATTGTGCCCACCTTGCTGGTGGTCTCCAAAGTACTATAACGTTCAACTCAGTAAAATCTCCTGGAAAAAACATGCTGGCAGTCTTTTAATATGAGATATGCCCAGTGTTTTCATCCTTGGGGTTTCTTTTGGTGTTAGGAGTTCATTTTTTTAAGCAAGCTGACTAGAAGACCAGCTTGCAAAATTGTGTGCTCTTACTGTTCTTCATGAAATAACTAATTGAGAATGTATTTGGGTATATGCCTGGGCGCTATATGTTAAATCTGTCATCTTTTACAACTGTAAAGATATTTATAGGCTATGTAGCAAAGACAGCTTTTAATAAGCTTTTAATAAGACTTTTGCATTCACAAGAGTGGCTGAACATGCACAGTTGGGCCTAATGACAAATTACTACTAGTCAGCACTTCCTCTGTACTGTTTGCGTGAAGATTGCTGTGACTCAAGATCTTGCTTAGCTATGCTAAACACTTCATGCAAGAAAACATCACTCATTTTTCAAGTAAATCCACACCTATGGTGGACAGTGTTAAGAGAGCTTTGAAAACCCTGTTTTGCATTGAAAGAGGATGTATTCACATGAAAAATTATCATGTCTTCTCTGTGAACTTCTAAAGCTACTTTCATTAGATCCAGAAAAGCATGTCTGTCTAAACATTGAATTTGTTAGCTTCCATTTCATGTCATAACATGTGCTGTCACTGTGATGAAATGAAATGGTTATTTTTCTACAGGCAGGCACCTTTGTGCTGTGAGTAGAAGTATTCCTATTGACCTGATCTCTCTTCACTGCTACCAGCCTTTTTACACTGTGTTTTGAGCTTAAAATATATGCTAAATATTCTCATACCAGGGACTTCTCAAACTCTGAGAACTTTTTTCCCCCTTGCACCTATGTGCAAGCCAGAACATAGGCAAAATGGAGGTAAGCATTTTCTATTCTGCCCTGCAACCATATAGGTATCTCACTGATGGGTATGTTCATTTGCACAAAACCAGCTTCTCTCCAAAGATTTGTCCCCAACTGCATACAACATCATTGAAAAACACATTACTAGAAGCATGAAAACAGATGGATATGATTGAATCGTAATAATTCAGATTGACTGCTTGTTCTTATAGTATGTCCTGCACTTTAAATTAAACGGCTTATTAAACTCATAATTGATGGTCATTATTTTTGTCAGTGTATCTTTTAAAGGCTTTTTTATTGCAGTGTCATGCTGGCATAATAAAAAAATTGTCATTTAATGAAGCTGTTTTGGTCTGTTGGATTAAAAAGTGATGTCTTGTAGTACGTACAACATGTCTCCTCTCTTGCACTGTGGCTACATTTTCCAACATCTAAACAGCCTGAACTCCCCATCACAAATAAGCTCATTTTTTAACCCTCTCTGTGATCACACTTTCTGTTTATTAGGATGAGATAGCAGATATGAAGATGAAACTGAAAACTTCAACACGTCAGCTGGATCAGCTGAAGGAGGAGCTCAAAGACAAAGATGTAGCCCTTGAGAAAGCACATCTAGATCATCAGCATTCAGAGGAGGAGAAGGAATCATTGAAAGTAAGACCCTTTACACATATACCTTCCTACAAAGGATAGTTGCCATGATTTCACAGAACTGCATTATGTTCTGGTCTGTCGTAGTTTTGTTGTATTTTACTAAACTATTCTGTAATTGAAGCTCAAGATCTCAGTACTTTAGAGATAGTAGTTGCACAAATCTGCTGTGTATCTGACAAATTTAATCTCTGCCTATAATTATCAAAAAGTCCTGAACTGTCTGTTGGAAGCTTTAAAATCTCTTGGTGACTGAACATTTTTTACTAAAAAGTTCCATTTTGCTTTCAGAAAAGTGGATTTTGGGGATAGCCTGATTCTAGCAAACTTTTTTAATATGGATCCTTGTAATTCAACTTATTTTTAAAAACTTCTTTTCTCTCTGCTGTTTTTAAGTGCAACCCCCATTATATTACACTTCACAATGTTGTATTTCTGTGTAACTAGCAAGCATTAGTCTTCTGAGAGTTAGGCAGTGCCTTTTAGTAGGTCCCCCTGCACAGAAAGTTATTTTAATATTGTGATATAAAGCAGGAAGAATCTGTTATAAATCAAAGGAAATCTGAGCTTGAAGCTCTGGTTCTTCTAAGTGCTGGCTGCAGCCCATCCTTACACAAGCTATTAGATTTGTGGTGATATCTCAACCCAGTTTGCTGTGCTCTGGAAAGATTTAAGGAGTTAGTGTCCACAGAAGCTTATTTTTAATCTTCACTAAGCACTAGAGAAAAAAAACAATACCAGGGAAAAAAAATACCCCTCAAAAAACCTGAAAGTCCTCTGTCACTTTTCACAATGTTTTCTTTTGTCACTTTATTGCTTTGCTGCAATGACTTCTTGAGTTTTCAGCCCCTCTCAGCACATTACAGTTATGACAAGATGTCAATGGGGCTTTGTAAAAAGGTGATGAATTTGTGTTCCTGTACCTGATCTGTCTCAGAGTTGTTCTATCAGTGATGGAGAAGTCAAACAACATCTCATTTCCTGTGTGCAGCTTTCTGCCTTAACTAGTCCCCAATTCTGTCTCATCACCTCAGAACTGTCTGCCATTTATTTGACAAATATATGATTGCTACATGGTTTACACACTCAATTACTCACTAGCAAGTTTGTCCATACATTGACATGACATTGCTGACTAGCTGCCGGGCACTGTGGTCTTCTTACCTGAGTGCCACTGCTGAATACTAAAACAGAAGAGAATTCAGAGGGAGCTGATTGTCACAGGCACAAAAGAACACAATTATCTGTGTTGCAAGCCAGCCTCCCTTCGTCCTGATTGCGCTGATGTGAAGTAAGTAAGCAAGCTGCTCCTGGAAATAAGTTTAAAGAATGTGCTAAATCATGGAGAACTGGGATTCATAGGAATGAGATTATACAGACATTGGATTTATGCTCATCTCAGATGGCATAAAGGTCTTAAAAATCTGTCATCATGGTAAATGAAACAGAGGACACTTGATCCAGGCTCCATTAAAGCCAGTACAAAGCCATCTTTTGGCTTCAGTTGACCTTCTTACAGGCTTGCAGATTAGAGTGGTTTGACGGAGCATCTGAATGTTGGAAACAATCTATCTATGGCCCTCCAGATTTGAGCTGCTGGCAAGTCAGGCTTTGTATATTTTTGTAGATGTTTATGTGTATTTTTTTTGTTAGCATTTTCCAGAAGTCTGGATATAAAACCTCTGCCTTGTTATTTCAGCATTCTGTGTTCAGTTATAACTTTTGTAAAACTCATATTTTCTTTTGACCTCTAATACCAGTAAAAAAACCTCTTCACTTAGAGTAATATTTCAGAATCTAAGCAAGAATTTAGTTTGAATTTGGTTTGAGATACTGGTATAGGTCCTATATACATTATTCTTTCTTGCTGACTGTTCTTCAGTTCGTACAAAGTCTCCAAACTGAATTCAAGTGAGCTGTGCTGATTTACAGCCATTTCAGACCCGATCATTTTTCTCCTTGCCAGTAACTGTGTTTATTCATTTACTTTTCTCTTACCTAATGTACACAGACCCTCCTACTGTAGTTTTCAGCATATTTAATCTAACTGAAAATCCTGTTAGCTTGTTGGGCTTTTGTGTGGCTTAAAGTATTTATGTTCTTTACTATACAAGGCAGTTCAGATTTATTTTAACTTAGTGCATTCCAGTGAGGAGATTTGTTTATATAAATGTTTACTGCCAACATCTAATGCCACTTCTTGTTTACAATTCATATTTTTCTGACATAAGGAGACCATAGAATTTTGATATATTAAAAAAATACTATCCAGCAGTACCGAACGCATGAGCAGTTTTACATCTGTAGACAGCTTTTGCACAGTGTTGATTGCATTTCAGTGTGAAGTGGCTTGCATTTTCATTCAGCTGATGGATTCTGATGAATATCTAACACTGACTAAGAGAGATACGTCTCACACATATGGGAAAATGAGAATTTTATTAAAGAAAATAAGAATGGAACAAGCTATTTTATTATGATGATGGAACTGTTTCTGTCTTAAATTGATGTTTTTGCAGGTGCAGCCTTTATCACAGCCTATATCACAGCCTAATTCTTTCAACATTGAATGATGCTTGTTCCCAAAAGGCAGCTTGAACACCATCCTTTATAAGGGCCAGAGCTGTGGCAAAGTCTTTGTGTCAAAGCTTGAAAGTTTTCATATCTATGGAAATGGACTGTGGTCAGCTAGTTCCACCTTGGCTCTAGTTGCATAGCAATGTTAGAAACTTCTAATAATCCAAGAAGACCTTATTAGTTTTTATCTACATACATGCCTTGAATTATACATTTTGTGACAGTGGGATGGAATGATTGGGCAGTGTTAGTTTGTTAGTGCTGTGCAGTCACTCTAGCAGTACTTTGCTGCTCCTTCACTTAGGAACAACCTTCTTTTCCCAATCTTCTTCATCTGCACATCCACTAAGCAAAGTGCTATAGCTCTTTAATTTTGCTGTTCCCTGCCTGGTTGCCATCTTCTCCACCAATTCTGTTATTCCAGTCTGAAGCCTTTTCTGAGTTGATGCTGATTTTTATTCTCCAGCGTAGATTGTTGCCCTTTTCAGCAAGGTGAACTATCCTTTCTCACATGCCAGACTGACTTTAAAATTTGAATAACAACTCCTGAAAAGTTTTCTAAAATGACCTATACACTTTTTAAAAAACTTATTAAATGAGGCATCCCTGAATTACAACTTGAACCACTGTCATAGATAAAAATCCTTTCAAATTTCTATTGTGTATAATACAATCATATTAAAATAACGTTTACAATATTTCTTTATGGGTCTTCATGCCTGCTTGTCTTGGTGATTTGTTCTCAAAAACTAACAAGATATGTACATCTCAGGAAGCTAAAAGAATGTATGAAATATTTTTTAAAATCCTAAGTCTTAATTGTAGGTTTGTGTAATGCGAAATTATTATTAAGCACAATTTACCTCCATTCTTTCTCTCCATCAGGCTGAAGTGGCTCAGATGACAAGACAGGCTCTGGAAACCAAAACATTCATAGAAAATCAGGAGGCAGAAGAGAGAAAACTCCTGAATATCATTGCTGAAGCTGATGCAGAGAGGCTGAAGCACACGAAGGAATTTGACAAGGTAGGAATCTCTAATTTGAGTTTTCAAACATCCTGCATTTTGTTTCCTCATTTGTCCAGTGTATTTTTAAGATGGAGATCCTCAACTACTGTGAACGTGTTACTACTAAAGCTTTATAGTGCTTTAAAACCAAAATGTTAAGATACTGAAGTGAACAAAATATGTAGTATACACTGTTCAGGTGACTGAACCCATATAGGGGATACTATTAGGTTCTTGCCGTATTTCTTTCATTAAAAACAGTGAAACCTCTTAATGCACATGATTTTGACTGATACAAATGTAGTCATGATCCTTGGGGATGGCGTGAAGGAACTGTAGCTGAGCTCTCTGCTTTGCCCTGTGCCCTTACAGGTGCTCAGTGAGAGACATGCCCTGGCGACCCAGCTTATTCGTCGCAATGATGAAGTGGCTCTGCTCTATGAAAAGATAAAAATCCAGCAGGCCATCCTGAACAGGGGGGAGAGCGAGTACCGACAGAGGATGGAGGACATCCGAATTCTCAAGCTGGAGATCAAAAAACTTCGGCGTGAGAAGGGAATACTTGGCAAGAGTGCGGCTAACGTGGAGGAGCTCAGGTAGAAAACCTGATTGAATACATTTCCGTAGTGACTGCAGCCATGATTTTATGTTTGAGACAGAAAACATGTTTTATGCATGGTAAGGATTTGTATCAACAAGCATTATACCTTGGAGAAGGAGGTTGTTTGGTTTGACCTCTAACACAAACTGGATTAAATTTATAAAACAATTTATCAGCAATTAAGAAAATTAAAATATAGGAAGGAGGAAAGAAGACCTCTTGGCCAGAGTTGAAATAGTTTCCATATTTCCCTTGGTACTGTGAATTACTGCCTACAGAATAAACCTGACAGAAATCAGCACGAAAGGTGTTCACAGTTCAGTGAGCTGCTTAGTGGTACAGTGGTACAAGGCTCAGATGAGTGGAACTCCTTTTTTTTAAGCAATCCACAGGGTATGGGGAACACTTGACATATTTATGACAAACTCCTGCACTTTCAGAGCTCTCTCCTTCCAGATTTATATGCAGGCATGCTCTCTTAGAAAGATTTAGTTAAATTTTCATTGAAGGTTGTGTTTCTTTAAAACACAAGTTTAATAGCCTAAGCCTGATTTATCTCCTCCTTCTCTGGCTTAATGCTTCATTTCTTTTTTTAACCCTCCTCCATTAGAGGTGTATTCTTTCCTGATGGGAAACTAATGTCATTTTCTGTAGAATCAGTTTTGGTTTGTAAAGAGAGGCAGTTATGTTTTTAGCAGATAACCATCATTCCAATTCTATGTAGCTACCACAGTTTTGGGCTAGATCTTTAGCTTATCAGTATAATTCCATGCCTTTCAGCAGAACAAATTAACTTCAGTCCGTGGTCAGTCCCATTGACTCCAGTGGAATTATGCCGGTTTGATTTGGTGAAACAGAAAAGAGAACTGGGCACACAACATTAGCAATTGCAGTTTTCATCGACTGGCTGCAGACAGGAATAGGATTTGAACTTGCTGCCCAAATACATTCAGCTGAAAGTCTGTTACTGTATTGAAACTCAGTGATGGTATTGAAGTGTAGTGTGATGCATGCCATGATGGGTAGATCAATTCTTCCTAACTGCAGCAGCAATCACATACTTTAATGAAGTCCAAAACCACCATGAAAACTGCCTGTCGAAAGACTCCATATATCACTTGTGCTGCTAATTAGCTTTCTTGATTTGCCAATTGGAGATGTTTTTTTCCTCTTCCATAACCTTTTCCAACCTCACAGTTAAAAAAAAGGTATTTTGCTCTATTGAGCTAAATGTAACTCTGAGCTTAGCAGGAAAAGATTCAGTGGCAGGCACATCGTGATTCCCCACCTCCTTTTGACCTTGGAGGACTTACAGATCCAATCACTAGAATGATCAGGGTCAGACCATTGCAAAAAGCGCCTTTTTCCCCCCTGCTCCTCAACCCCCTATCCCCACCATAAAAGCCTAGTTGTCAAAGAATCTTGGTAGTGCTCAAGTAGTTTTAAATTCAGCAACAAGTCACCCCTGAAATTCCTTGAGGAGAGGTAGTAAGAGTAGAAGAAATCAAACTTCAGTTCTGTAAGGAATGGTGTCCGTCTTACTTAGACCCTAGAGTGTGTTTCATTTAACAGATTGTATTAGCCAAGTAGATTTAAAAACTTCCTTCGAACACAAACTGTTAGATTCAATACAGGGGTTACTGGATATGACCCATAACTGTTTTGTAGGTTGATGAGCTAACAGTCCTTCTGGCCTTAATGTAAATGGGAAGATGTGAACAGTGAGATCCAGTAGGCTGTGGAGTAGATTCCCCAAGAGTCCCTTTTCTGAGCCATTCTTGATAGAACAAGTGAAGAGGTCTAAGTGCATCACCTTATGATTCCACCTGTTTAGCGATGTCAGTGTTGCAACTTTTTTGCCACTACAGTGTGGCAAAGTGACTCTTTGTGTTTTCCATGTAGTGCTTCCTGTGCACTGTAGTGCATAAAAGAATGATTTGTTAATGTTCATATTAGTGCCTTGGTCACACTGTTATAGTTTCAGTGGGTTATTTTTCTTTTTGTTTTATGCTGGTCTTCAGATTTGAGGTTAATCATATGCAGAAGGAACTGTTAAAGGAACAAACTCGATGCAAAATTTTGGAAGAAGAACTGCAGAAGCCCTTGAAAGTTCACAGATGGAGAAAATTAGAGGTGATGTGTGAGCATTTCATGTTCCCAATGCCCCTATTACCAAATCAGTGACCCAGCACAAAGCCCATTTCATTTACTGTTAGGCAAATGATGTGGAGGGGCAGGCAGACTGAAATTTCCATGGTGCCAGTGGAATGCTTAACTGCTGAATGGTTTCCTTGCACAATGCAATCAATGTTATTTTTGTGTCACTTTCTCAATGAAAAATTGCAGAGGCATTTGTAAAGAGACAGTCAAGTGCTAAAGGGAGTAAGAATGCATAAGGTGAATTGAGAAGGGGGGGATTCCTTAACATGGATGATGAGAAAGAGGATGATGGGGGAAAGATACAACCCTACCCTCACCAATTAGGGAGATGTATATGGGAAGAAAGCCAGAATTTGGAAGGGTCATAGAATAGGTAGAGTAGAGAATGGACAGACATGAAGTCAGAAGGTAAATTACATCTCTGAGAAAAGGAAGAGGCCTGCACATAAACAGCAGTGGGCTCCCAAAGATAGTCATTCCAGGTAATGTGAGTTCAACTGTTCTACATAAACAGCTAATCTAAATTTTCACACAATTTGAACCTGCCAAGTGAAGGGGAAAAATAAAAAATCCATCAGGCATACACCAAATATATGAACATCAGCTGGCATCACTGGATATTTTTGATGTAAGTCAGAGCCATCTGAGATTCCACTCTTGCATGGGTTTCTGATCTGATTCCAGCCTGGGTTGCTTAGCTGCTCTAATAATGAGTGGTAACATGCTCAGTCCCTACAGAAACAAGGCTGAATATTTTGACTGTGCTTACTAACAGAATAGTTACTCTTTCCATGCTGAGCTTAAGTTGAACAATGTGACTAGGTTTTCACATGGAAGGGAGATGAACTAGGTTAAACATGTGTAGGTACGAACTCCAGCACTACCTTGTAACACAGAAAAATCAGGCCAGTCAAAACATCCAATTTTGGGAAAATGAATGTATGAAGAGAATGATAATGGGAAATCATGTCTTTCCATTCTAGTTTACTGGTTTGTATTTGGAACACAGAAAGGCCAGCAGATGGCAAGATCCATGTGAAATAATCCTGATGGGGTTTTGGTTCAATTCCTAATGAACAAACACCCTCATATCACTATAGTTGTCACAATTGGCACTATGTTTGGGCAGCACTATAAAAAAATCAAGGTCTGAGTGGATCATGGAGACTGATCTACTTTTTAGCCTTGTTTCTCAGGAAGTGATGTTGTGTTGTGAGTGCTGTGTGCATATCTGTGTTAGTGTCCTAGTTACACTTGAATTGATTAGTCAATTTAGATAAAATCAGACAAAAGATTAGGAGCAATGAGATACCAAGTTCCTTATAAGCTCAAGCAGATATATAGAGAGCAAGACTTTATTGAAGCCTTTACTGCAGTATGAGTTTAATCCTTATGAGACACCACATGAGAGCAGAGAAACCAGATGGGAGAGAGGTGTTATGAATCCCTGAATGGGGAAAAGCTTCAGTCAGAGTTTGCCCTTCAGTAAAAGATCCAACAAGAAGATATGAAGTAGTAGCCAGCTTTGCTGGCTGCTCCTCACAGAATTACTACTTTGCTCCTTGGAGTGTCCTCCAGAATCAATCTGTGACAAAAGAATGAGAAGGGACAGAGAGACAGACATCTACTAGGTCCTGGTCTTTATGGGCTATGTAGATAGAGGACAGCAGTAAGTGTATACACTGTCACCATTTTTTCCACTTCATTCCATTGAAGAATGAGATTTCACATGTATGGACACTTTAGAGCCTCATAATTCATCAATGTACCCCACAGATTTGTTCCTCTTAACTTCTCAACCTCTTTCAAGACTATAGTGCAGTTACTCTTTCTTTTGTTCAAAGCAACTGTTGAGGTTCTTAAACAGTGGAAAGTACTTGCACTGCTCTTCATTTGTCAGTGGGCAGTTCCAGTTGCTGCTAAAATTGATACATTAGGTTTCAGGACTGCTTGTATGCATGCAATTTTAAAAAAAAAAACCAAACACTCCCACCCCTCCCCTTTTATATTTATTACTTTTGAACACTTAGATATTATGATTTTCATTTGCAAACAAGAAACCCTAACTTGGTATAATTTTTGAGAGTTCTTTACTCTTTTCTAGGCCAGCGACCCCACTGCCTATGAGCTGATTCAGAAAGTACAGAGACTACAGAAGAGGCTTATAAGCAAGACAAGTGAAGTGATAGAGAAAGAATTTCTCCTTCAGGTACTGCAGCGTCATTATTTTGTTGCATCTTATTAACGTATTTGACTCACCCTGCATTCTCTGTTTACTGACATGCTTCCTGAATGTTATTTAGATGCATGACTTTGATTTTCTTTTGCATGCCCTTTAGACAGCTATAGATGGCAGCACTGACTTGCTGAAAGAGAACAAGCAGCATCTGATTAGTTGATTTTTATATTCTGATTACTGATACCTGGACAACTCTGGAAAATACAATTAAAGGTTGGCTTTTGTTTATTCATGTCATAGATTCATCTTCAAGTCAGTCTTAGACTTTTTGAAAGGCTTTTTTTTCATCCTCTTAAACAAGACTCTTATGACCAGACCATGAAGGAAAGTCCCTGTTCGATACAATTTGTGCTTACCTTGGCTTTTGGCAGAAGAAATCCTACAGAGTTTGTGTGATTTAGATATGCTGCTGTCTGGGCCTGTTTGATTTCAAGGTTTTTGTGCTGAACTTTGCCAAGAAATAATTTTTGTGATAGCTTGTCTTTTTTAACTGTATCAGATGTCCCTTAACCCCAGTGATACCAGTAAGATTTATGTTGTAGGATGGAGGAGAGACTGTATTCCTGTATTGCAAACATTGCTATAAAATGTAAAAAAAAGGATTCTTTTGGCTTTAACTATAGGTGTAAAACTGGGAAATCTGTCTCCTCCTCTCTGGTGACTGTAGGAATAGCTATGGTTTACCAGCTCTAGACATGATTTTAAAATCTTGGTCTTAAATACACTAATAGTCTTGATGCCTGTGTTGGGTATCACTCGTGTAGAGTTGAATGTGACCTGAATCTCCCTCTGTCTTGAGAAAAAGCTCAGCAGATGTTATCAAGGCATGGTTTGTCTCTGTTTTTTGTTTCATAGGAAAAAATAGATCTGCAATTTCCTTTGAAGGTAATGTATGGTGTATTGTGCCTTTGCTTGGAAAAATGAGAAATGTTTCATAGCACTGAAACTCTGTCAGTGACATAGTTATCTTAAAATGTAGCAAAAATAGCTGCAAATTTACTGTGCTTTACCCAAGGACAAACCCAATTCTGTTAGATTTTTACATAGTCTCTATTGAGTATCTTGCCTTATCCTTAGTATGTTCCCATTTTGCTATTATCCTTATTTTCAGCTGAAGAACTGAGAAATAGAGGTATTAAGTTGCCTGCCCAAGAAAATCTTTGAAATAGTAGGTTTTTGAGCCCACATTGCTGTATTAGCCTTTGATGCAATCTTTCTGTCTATACTACAGTCCTTCTTTGATGACTCTATTTTTTTTATTATTTTCCGAGATTTGAGACAGGGTTTGGCTATATAAAATTGAATTATTAAGCTAGAATTGTTAATGAGTTCCTTTGCATCCTCAATTCAGGCACCAATTTCCTGTGCAACAATGCTGAAATTAATGCTGTCCCTTGGAGAGACTAACAATAAAGGCCAAAAATATCATGCTCCAAATTGTGTTCAAGGATTTACCATGCACATTTCTGAGCTCTTTTCTGTTTTTCCACAGTGTTTTGAGTCCTCCACAATGACTGATGTAGGGCTCTTTCCTAGCAGCGTTTGGGTAATGAGAGGTAACCAGAGATGCAGCAAACCCCCCAGCTCATTTCCTTGGAGGGCTGTATGTCCTACTGGATCGGTCACTGGCGTAGGGCTCAACAGTTAAGTGTACTAGCTGAGCTGTTTCTACTAAGTGTCTGGATAACCTTGTACAAGTAATTTGTTGTTCTTTGAACTGGTTTTCCTTGGTATAAGGATAATACCTGTTTTGTGAAATGGTACCCTGTTACTCACTGAAACAATGAGCTGTGTGTCCCTATTCAAAAGATAGCGTAAGGTTTGATGCTGACTGAACTTTAGATTTATGGGAAACAGCAGCAATTTAGCTCCCATTTCTGGAATTTTTAATTTTTTCCCCTCAATATAATTTGTTTTGCTTTGTGAGTTCTTCTCTCTTTTTAAAAGTCCTGGTAGGTCTCCTCATGCTTAAAGGCATTCAACATCTTCTTTTTATGTGTCTCTCCTGGAAGTCAGCTCAGTTCGGTTCAGTTGCTGTTCATCTGTAGGAATGGGGGAATTGCTGATGACTTGTCCAGTGGCTGGTTGGTTTTAGATCCCCCATATTCACAGTCAGAGACTGCAGGAGCTGAGGGATACAAACTTAATTCAGAGAGCTACTGCTTTCCCCATGTTGTGTTTGCTTGCCTAAGTCACACCTCTTCACTCCCAGTTATCTCCATCCACATCTTGCCCTGTGACCAGGGCACAGCCATTGTGTGTATCTGCTTTAAAGTGGTCTTAATCTCTTGCTTGCCATACATAATCTTTTTTCACATGTGTGTGGCCACCATGCTAGAAATAGGATATCTGTTTAAGGGGAAGCTTGTGAGTGTCCATGCTTTCTGTGTGTGCATATTATATGACAAAGTCCCTCGCATCAAAGTGTAGCAATAAAATAGAGTGCAAAAAAACTTGGTGGTTTGAATATTGTGTATTAAAAACATCTTTGGAGTTAGCAATAACCCATGTCTGGAGATGGTTGAGCCTGGTGTCAGCAACCTGCAGTTTGATTTGTAGGGTATTCACCTTGCTGCATACTCATACAGAGCCGTAATGTTTGTGTAAGGGAAAAATAATTCTATTTGTATTGTATGTACTGTAGTTCTGTCTTCTGACTGTTACTTTTTTTTTTTGGTAAATGGTCTTTTAAATAAAAGCTGGTTTATGCAGGGAACAAGGTTTCAACTGGATATATAAATGGAAATTTTTGCTAAGTAAGTATCACAGTATATAGATGCAGGTAGAAAAGCATCTGCTTACTTTTCCTGCTCTTGATGTGTATTTAATCATATCCTTTTTATTAGCTTTTTCATTATTTCTCACCTGTTAGTTGTTTAAAAATTAGAAAGCTGTAGAAGCAAGCTACAGTCTGTGCTATGTGATTAAAAGAATGATTCTCTATGTTTGAGTCAGAATATTTGGATTGCTGACAGTACAGGAAAAACCCAGCTTGACTCTAATTCTCATACTAAAATATCTCTTAGCTGGTCATCAGAGCACATTTTTTGGATCAGATGTGCTGAGAGGTAGTGAATATGCAACATGATGAATGGTGGGTTTTGCTAGAACAACTTTCATAGTTGAACACTCTAATAAAGGTGTAAAAAGATATCCTGTGTCATAGAAATTATTAACTCTTTTTATTTTTCTTTGATTTATTGGTGCCCTGTAGGTACAGCATCTTGTGTTATAAACTATCAGCTCTCGTACACCAAATAAGTGTGGACACCCCGAGACGCTACTTTGAAGAGTAGCTGCAGATCAGATGGTCATACTTTCTCCTTTAGCTCAGGCATTCTTACAGTTGTGAACTGCTGTGCTGATGAAAAAGGCTGTCCTAAAAATCAGATCCAAACCCAAGGTCTTGAATACTTATGGTCTATAAAAATCCACTGGCATTTTTGGAACACATAGGAAATGTTACTTCAGCGTTAGCCAGCTCTCATGTTTGAGTTATTACCTTCCTTCTGAATTTGTGCAGTGAGATGGAGCATTTTTTGGTTCTTTTCTAAACTGTTGAGGAATATTGCAGGGCATTGTTGAGAAGTATGTTGTGTGTTAACCAAGGGATCTGAGTGATGGGTGAAAGTCTTTGTGAACACATGTAGGATGAACAACACACGTTGTAAGGCCATAAGGTATAATTATTAATAAACAGGAGTGCTCTGCTGAACAAATCCTGACTGCAAAAAATCAGTTGCTCACTTTGCATGTGGGGCAAATCCCTCACATGACTGAAGCTCTGCAGCTCTGCTGTGTACTGAGCAGTGATGTGGTAAACTCGCAGTGGAATGTATTACCTTGTTAGGATTGTGATTAGTGTGGTTTTAGGAACTTATCCCATTAAAAGTGAATTATGCGCTGCCTTATTTGTTTCAAATGTAGTTCTTTCTCTTCAGAGTGAGCTCTTCTAATTTGATTTTATGTCTGACTGAGCAGAATTTTATTCAACTGCATGTCTTGGAATGGCTAACCGTAAAGATTCACATTATATGTCAGTTACTTCTTTTGTCAGTCATCTCAGAAGATTGTTCATAAATGTAAAAAAGAATTGCAACCTAGATTATTTGTGCAGGGAGGCAGAGGCAAATGTGTCTTATTTAATGCTTGCATGTGATAGTGAAAGCATTGCTTTTCACTATATATATATATATTTATAATCACTATTTTTTAATTGCCAGCAATCAAAGCCCAGGACTGGGCAGTCAAGATGGGATGCTTCCAGACTGTTAGTGTCTTCAACTCATAGTTTCTAAAAGTGCCAGGGCAAAAGGCATGATTAGCTCATGTATGTGACTCAGAGATTACAGCACCCACATGTCCTTGTATTGAGCCAAGTTTTGAGCTAAGTTTCAATCCCTCAGAGAACTGACTGTCCCACTGTCAGAGAGTAGGAGGAGTAGAAGGGATGCTGCTATCTGCAGCAGAGGTCCATTTCAGGTATTGTGAGATACAGGGAGGGGAGAGCAAGAGATTATCTGTGACCTTGGGCAAGTTACTTAGCTTTTGCATGCCTCATATCAAGTAAAAAGGGAATAAAATGATTTCCATTCTTATAGTGGTGTGTGAATGAATATATTAGATACATGACTCAATTCATTAGCTAAAAACTCAAAATAGGCAGATGTTTTATTTAATTTGTGCTAACTTGGTAATAGAGCTGTTCTGTCCAATTCGAGGTGCTTGTTGCTATAGTGTCTGAACATATACACAACCATCTTTATTTCTCAGATCTGGTACTATAGTTTCATAAAGAAATCTGCTTTTAGAACAGTGTGTTACCACGTGGGTTTATGCAGGCTGGCAGCTACTGAAATCAAAGTTTTCTCCCAAGAAATGAAGGAACTTTGGGATTTGCTTACCTATATTTGTTATACAGTTTCCCCCCCCCATTTATTACAGAAAATACAATTTTTTTCAATCTTGTA